TGCACCGCAGTCGAGGCCACGCTGGGGGTGGATTTCGATGCGTGTGTCGTAGTTGACAAGGGCGTGCATGCGCTCACGATGGCGCCCAGCGGTCCGTTGCCGCACGGACCCGCGGCTACGGTGCTGTTCACGATCGGGTCCTAAATGGTGCAGTGATCGTACTTGTAGATGCTGTCATCGTAAAGGTAGAAAAGAGTCCCACGTTCAGCGTGTCGCAGGAAAACCTCACCTCCATGCTGGGGCGCACCGCCTGAAGACGGGAGTGCTCCAGCGAGCGAGGGGAGGGCCAGGCTGCAGGCAAGGCGCCACATGATGGCGAGGCCTGGCGGGCGGCGCGAGCGATGAGCCAAAAGCTGCATGTCAGCACGCATCCTCAGATACCCCTGCATGCTCATGTACATTGCAACGAACACACCCACAGCAAGATGACAGGTGTCCCTACACCAGATAGCTTGCTCGTGCTGCTGCCAAAACTGACATGATATGACAAGAAAGAGATACGACGCGAAGAGAGAAGAGATGCCTCTGAAGGCGCTTCCTCGGAGGGCTGTGGCAGGCTCTCTGAGGCACCTTCAATAGGGTTCCTGAGTGACCCGACCCTTGTCTTTGCCTTTGTCAGCCCCTGGGGGCCCCGTCCCTGGGGTGACCTGGCCTGGCTGGTCAATCCACCCGCAGACAGCCACGGGATCGGCAACTGATGCAGCTTCCTCCTTTTTGTTTCGAGAGTGGCCACCTGTGGCAGGTGGATGGTGCCCCCCGTGAGGTGCCCGAGGAGGGCCTGGATGTCGCCACGCAGTGCAGCAGCTTCGGTGGTTGCCGTCTGTTGCTGGGTGACGACGGTGGCAAGCCCTCGTTCCAAACCTGAAACGTGCTCCGTGAGTGTGGCCTGGGATGAGAGAACGCCCGCAAGCTGAACCTGCATGTTATCCACCGTGTTGGCAAGCAGCTCGTGCTGTTGTTCCATGTGTTGGATGCGGGTCGTGGCGGCATCTGACAGTTTAGGGGCCGTTGCGAAGCGTTCGCCGAGGGTGTTGAGTTCGTGAGATGCCACGCTGAATTCATCACCTGATGAGAGGATCTCGACGTCGTCAGCGTCGCCTGGTACCTCGGCGGCTGTGGCAGCGTCCCCTTCCGTGTGGCCCCCGCCTTCAGCCGCCACCGTGCCAAGCTGCGGGTCATGACCACCTGATCCTTGGACGGCCGTCTGCTCGGCAGCTCCATCCGTGCCGTGCGGGGGTGCAGAGGAGCTGCGGCCTGGGGCGCCGTGTGATCTTGCGTGCGGCGTGGCGTCGCGTTTCCCACTGGAGGATCGGTGGCGCTTGGCTAAAGGCTCCTCCTTGGGGATCAGGAGCGGTGCGACGCCCTTGCCTTTGGGCGTGGCAGTCATGAGGTCGTGGAGGTAAGGGCTCTGGGCCGCTTTGGTTAGGAGTGTGCCCGTGGCGGGGCTGAAGCCGCCACCACGGGCTGGCGGCGTCACAGGCTCTGTGATAGTGGTAGGGGTGACAATGTAACGTTGTCCCTCTTCGGCACCACCTCAGCCAACGGGGCCTCGGTGATGCTCCACGGGATGGGGCACCCTGCGACCTGTACCGTATATGTGGGTGGGGGACGATGGGCGCGCACTAAGGCAAACTGAGCCGAAGTGGCTGGGTCCCAGGCGGTGTGGTAGACCTCACAGTCCCATTTGACGGACGGGCCCGTGAGAGTCTTAGCGAGCTGGGTCAGCGTGGCGTGGCGTGCCGCAATGCCAGTGATGCGGTATCGCGTCTTGGCGAGGGTGGCTTCGCAGCCACGGATGCTGACGGCAGCAGCCTTGGCGGCGTCTGACCCTCGTGCAACACGGATCCCCAATAAGCCTGACTTGCCGTGCCTGACGACTCCTAGGGCCTTGAAATCCACCGACTTCTGGAACGCATCTGCCATCGTGATGGGCTGGTCCTCAGGGAACCACACGGTCTGGTACTTGTCTGCAGTGGGCTCGTCTGCACCTACGTTGCTGAGGTCGTAGGTAGCGCCGAGTTGCCCTGAACCCGCCAGGACCTTGTCAACCGCTTGAAGACTGACGCCGAAGGTGGCAGCCAGGGACCTCTTTCCGACGCCCGATCCATACCTGCCTAGGCTTTTGCAGGGTTCGAAGATGGTGACGGCTTTAAAGTTGCCGTGGAAGAGGGCCTTGAAGGTGTCCTGGAGCTGACTGTCGAGCTCCTGGCGGCGAGCGTCTTTCTTGGACTCCCTGTGCTTTTGGTTTTGGCGCGCCTTGTCCTGTGGAGCGGAGTCCCTTCGGAAAGGACCCTTGGCGCGTGGACCACCGTTCACGGGGGCACCTCCCGAGAACTGATCCTCGAAGGCCTGATGCATGGAGGGGACTGCGGCGATGGCTTCGGTTTCATGTATGGTCACCCGAATCCAGCATACGTGGTCGGCAGGATCGATGGTGGCGACGGCTACTTTTTCCGTGCAGGCGACTTCCTTGGTGCCCAGCTGGTACACGGTCACGGGGACGTGCGTGTGGACCACTTTGGGCGCCTTGGGGTGACGCTTCAGCACGGGGACGGCGAGCTCGGTACCGACGTAGTTATCGTTTTTTGGGCCCATGACAGCAATCGCAAGCTGACCCGTGGTACGCTTACCCTGCTCGAGGTGGTGTTGCAGCAGCCGTTCACCGCTCTCGTAGTCGTGGAGGCTGATACTGGGCTTGTACGTCTTGCCGTCGTCAAGTGATGTGGGTTCGGCGAGGACTGGGACCTTCCAGAAGGCCGGGTCCAAGGCAATGAATTGGGCGTCCGCAGCCTGAAGACGTGCGGACGCAGCTGGTGGGTGTGATGTGTCACCACCAATGCGCTTAGGCTTGCTGCGCTGGTGGTGATCCAGCGTGTAGCTGATCTGGTTGGCGGCACACATGCGGATCAAGGCACTGCCGAGCTTCTTTGTGTTGGTCTTGTGCATGTCGTACGTGGCCTGAAGCTCGTCCGCGTTCAGCTCGGCAAGCCCGTTGTATGCGGCCGTGGGGCGGTCAGACCCCGCTTGCTTGAAAGCTGCGATGCAGTCCTGCTTGCGTTGGAGGAGAGACCCTTCAGCAGCAGGACGTGAGCTCGGAGGCTGCTTGGAAGAGCGACGGCGCTCCGGCTTACTGGGGGCCATTGCTGCGGGCGCTCTGGTGGGGAGAGGTGACGCGAATCAGTAGGGTCCTGCTGGGACCCCTCCGGTCTCGCGAGGCCTGGGAGTCTGACTCCGAGGCGGGGCGCTTCGCGTCGCGGCTGCGGTCTGAGTGCAGGGCACTCTCGAGCCGAGACTCGAGTGAGAGCGAGAGAAAGAGAGAGAGAGAGAGAGAGCGAGAGAGAGCGACAGAGAGCGAGAGAGAGCAAGAGAGAGCGAGAGAGCGAAAGAGAGAGAGAGAAGAGAGAGAGAGAGAGAGATAGAGAGAGAAAGAGAGAGATATAGAGAGAGAGAAGAGAAGAGAAGAGAAGAGAAGAGAAGAGAAGAGAAGAGAAGAGAAGAGAAGAGAAGAGAAGAGAAGAGAAGAGAAGAGAAGAGAAGAGAAGAGAAGAGAAGATAAGAGAAGAGAAGAGAAGAGAAGAGAAGAGAAGAGAAGAGAAGAGAAGAGAAGAGAAGAGAGAGAGCGAGAGAGAGAGAGAGGGAGAGTGAGAGAGAGAGGAGAGAGCAGAGAGAGAATAGAGAGAAGAGAGAGAGGAGAGAGAGAGAGAGAGAGAGGCAGAGATAGAGGCAGAGAGAGAGGCACAGAGAGAGAGGCAGAGAGAGAGAGAGGCAGAGAGAGAGAGGCAGAGAGAGAGGCAGAGAGAGAGAGAGAGGCAGGGGAAGAGAGGCAGAGACAGAGAGAGGGCAGAGAGAGAGAGAGACAGAGAGAGCAGAGAGAGAGAGAGAGAGAGGCAGCTCAGTCACACTTAAATCCAGATTCGTCCTCACCGAGTCCCACCACCAAGGGAGCGCCAGCAAGGAGATGCACATATGGGGATCCCACGCAGTGAATAATTTGGATGTCGGGTCCCCGGGGCGGATCTGCGTGAGGAGGGTGGCACCGTATTTTCAGAAATGTGTCACATCCCAAATTCTTTTTGGTGATCCTAGACTTCGGGAAATCGGAATCTCTGCGTGAGGGTTGGCACCGGATTTCAGAAAATTTGCAAAATCCCAATTGTTTTTGGACCCTGACCTTACCACTCCCCCGCGGATTCTTCGTGCGGGGTGGCACCGATTTCAGAAATGTGGCAATCCCATTTTTGGACCCTGACCCCCCCCTGGATCTGCGTTAGGGGTTGTCAAATGGTGGCAAGTGGCACCGAATTTCAGAAATGTGGCAAATCCCCTGTGTTTTTGGACCCTGACCCCGCGGATCTGCGTGAGGGGTGGCACCGAATTTCAGAAATGTGGCAATCCCCTGTGTTTTTTCGAACATTCCACGAACCCTGGAACTGACCGGAACCACCACACAAAAACCCTGACCCCGCCTATCTGCGTGAGGGGTGTCGAATTCGAGGCCCCCCAGCAAATTCAGGACAAACGCGCGCCCATGGGTGCTAAAAACATCTCAGTTTCGTATCGGTTCGTCGGCGCGGTCGGGTTCGGCTTCGTCGTGTTCGGGGCGTTCGGGTGGTCGCGTTTCGGGGGGCCTCCCCCCCCGCCTCGCGCGTCGGGGTCAAGGGCAACTAGTTACAGTAACCAGCAAGAAGCAGAACTGCAACACTGGAAACTACAAGCTACAACTGGTACTGGAAACTGCGAACCCGCGCCTCGCAGCCTGGTGGCCCCGCAAGGGGGCCGGCGGAAATATATATATATATATGTATATATATATATAGATATGCAGATATAATTAAACACAAGAAATCAGACTTATGACAACAGGTCATTTGAGAATCTCGGGGGTCCCGGTGAATCGCCGATGTCGTTCTCGCAGCTTTCTTGCTCTGAATATTTTCCGAGCGCCCAGGGTGCTCGTGCGCGCGTGCGCGAGCTGGCAGAAACCCGCGCCAGCGTGCCGCATGGCGGAGGTGGAGGAACCCGCTGGCGAGTATGCTGGCGACTTCGCTGGCGAGTCTCGCAGCCTACGCGCGGGGGACTTCATCGAGGCTTCGTGCTACGACGACCACGACGCTGACCAGGGCCAGGCCGCCTACCGCATCCTGGCACTGTACGCGCCGAACGAGCACGGCCAGTTCGCGCGCGCGGAGTTCTTGTTTTGCACCGATCGGTACCTGCAGTGGTATGAGGAGAATGTGGGCACCCCTGGAGCAAGGCGCGTGAAGCGATTGCTGCACTGTTGTCGGGACGAGAGCGCTGCTATGTGTCCAGCGGGAGACGGCGGCCGCCGTGGAAATCACGCACGTCGACAGGTTCAGGATCGTGGACTCGATCGGCGACGTGTTCCTGAGCTACCGCCGCCTCAACCCTGCGGCGCGTTGGCCTGCTGAACTTGGCCCGCAGCCGCTGGACGAGGAGGCGGGGCCCACGCTGGAGAAGCTGGACGACGACGAGTCCGAGATCCACGAGTTCGGGCACTCTGCCACGGGCATGGTTGCATTAGACGCGCTCGCGGCTGCCCCTGAGGGGCGCGCGCCTGCCGCCGCCCCCGTTCGGCCTCGGCGCCCCTCCACGGGGGCGCGCGGTGAGCCGCCTGCGCGGGGCGGGATGTCTGCCGCCGCGGCGCCTGTGCCCGAGGGGCCACCCGCCGCCAGCGTCCGCGCCGGGGGGGCCGCCGGCGGGGGGACCCCGCTGGAGGCCGCTGCTGCTGCCGCGGCGGGGGCGCCCGCTGCCCGCCGTCTCGACGCGGAGATGCAGGACATCCTCCGCGAGCGCCTGGCCGTCCTGAAGGGCCATCTGGGTGCTGAGGCCGACGGAGGTGCTGGGCCTCGAGGCGCTGGAGCTGCTGGAGCCGCCCCGGAGAGGAAGTCCCTGGACGAGATCCTCGCCGAGAGGGCGGCCAAGGCTCCTAAGCGAGGCGCTTCGGACGGGGGCGCGGCCGGCAGCGGCGACGGTGCGGCACCTGCTGCTCTTGGACGTGACGGTGGCGGGTCCGCAGCCCACCTGCTGCGCCCGCTGGTGGGGGCGCTGTCGCAGGGCGAGGGCCCCGAGGGCTTCGGCGTCGCCGACGGCCTGGAGTTCACGCCCGGGAGAACGGCCCGCGATGCTCTTGGAAAGTTGCTGACAACACATCTGGCCCACATTAAGCAGTTCCTGAGCACACAAGGCATCCATGAGGATGAGGAGGAGCTTCCTGCCATAGTAAATAAGTTCCTGCTGAATATCTTCCTCGTCTCTCATCCTGTCTCAGCAAGTGGCGAGGACATGTCCAGAGAGATGCGCACATTGTCCGAGGCCCTGGACCTTTTGATCCAGGGGGGGCTCCTCGTGGCCATGGACATGCTGATGCAGAGGTTCAGGGCCCGCCAGCTCTCCTGCGAGGACAAGCATTGGCGGAGCGCGCGCTGGCTGGAGCTCATTCCTCCCGACGCCGATATGGCTGCCATCAATATCGAGGAGGAGGAGCTCTTGAGGAATATCGAGTATGGCGAGTTGAAGCTCGCCGAGCTCGTGGGCGAGCTCAAGCCTGCGGGCTAGGGGCTCGGCCATGGGGATGGCTCCAGCAAGTTCGGGAGCTACCCCTGTAGGCCACCCCAATGAAGGAGAGCTCGGAGGTCCACCTCGCGATCGGGGTTTTCAAGAGGCGGCTCGCACTGCAGAGGTGGCGGGCGCGAGTCGCCAGCCTCCAGGGGCCCCAGGTGCGGAAAGGCTTTCAAAGACGTACAAGGACTTGAAGCTGCAGAACCCCAAGAAGGACAGCGAGACACAGGGCCAGTGCCGGCAGCGCCTGGCCCAGATAATGAGGGGCCCCACCTCCAAGAAGCCGGCGCCGCCATCTCAGGGAGGCGCTCGCAAGGTCATCTTGGAGGGCTCGGGCGCGCAGAACAAAGCTGCGAACCAGAAGGCTGCCGCCCCTTGGGCAGCCACTCGGAGGTGAAGAACACTACCGAGGCTAATTCGTCAAGTGCCAGCGGCGGAGCGAGCTGGCCCTAGACGCTGACAGGCATGACTGATTCGAGGTGAGGGCCTGGAAGGCCAGGCTGGCAGCGGCCCTCGAGGATGGCATGACCCCGCTCACCTTCGCGCTGTGGCTGGTTGAGGCCATGTTCACCCATCCTGGGAGGTTGGGCAATATTTGTCGCGGCTTCCTCCGACGCGCGCATTCACCGCAGCAGCGGGGGCAGAGGTTTCGGGCTGTGCTTCCTCTTGCTGCTCCATCTTTGTCAAGTGATAGGGCCTGGAAGCTTACGTTTGAGAAGTCAACTGCCGCGACCCTGACTGGACCAAAAGCTAGCTGTCGGCCGACCTCTGGAGAGCCAAGCCGCCGACCACAGGAATTGCCCACATCCTGCGGTTGGACTGCTGGAGAGGCTGACGCCGCTTGCGCCGCCACTGTGACGGCCGAGTTGTGGACCTTTGTCCAGGTCATGCTCACGAGCTACCAGTGCGCGGGCACGTGCGGGGAGGAGGCATGGGGCCACCACTCGCACTACTCGGCCGCTCAGGAAAATGCCATCGGGGTCATGCGGGTGGCCGTCTCGTACTTCCTTGCAGGCGATCTCGGCAGGGTACCCTTGCCCTGCTCAGCGAGATCTCGACGAGGGCCTCCAGTGCCTGCGACATCGACAGCGGCGCGCGCGCCCGACCACTTCGGCTCGGCGAGCTTAGGCCCGGCTTACCAGCTGCCGACGTTGCGGGGCGTCTTGGCCCGCGTGCTCACGTCAGCCCAGAGGTGCTCGCCTGGCCGGGCGAGCTGTCCCAGGCCCTGCTGCCGCGCGCCCAGTGGCCCACCGAGGTGCCGAAGGCGAGGCTCCTGGTTGACTCGCCTGCGGAGTGGGCCAAGATCGTGGGCCACCTGTACTCGCTCGGGATCGTGGAGGCGATTGAGGATGAGCACATCTTCCGGGCGGGTGACACGCCCGTGCTCAACGGGGCCTTCGCAGTCGAGAAGAAAGGCACTCCAGAGGCAGGGGGGCAGAGGCAGTGCCGCTTCATCATGAACATGGTACCGGCCAACAGTTATCTGAGGATCATGACTCAGGACCTGTCGACGCTCACGGCTTCGACCTCTTGGGTCACTGTGGCGTTGGAGGGCCAGCGCGTGCTTCTCTGGTCGGGCGACGACCAGCAGGGGGCCTTCTTCGTCTGGAAGATCCCTCGCCCTTGGCGGAGCTTCACCGCGCTGAAGGGCCGCGTTCTGGGTCGCCTTGTGGGGCGTCATGAGCAGAAGACCGCGCGCGTCTGCTCAGCCGCCATGCCGATGGGCTGGCTGCTGGCCGTCACGCTTTTCCAACATCTGCATAGACGGCTGGGCCTGCGCCCCCCTCCTGCTGGGGCGGGCCTGCCTGAGGACGACGAGTGGAGGAGAGACAATCCACTTCCCATAACTCAGGTGGGCATGTGCCGTTCCTGGCATCAGTTCTTCATTGATGACTTCGATGCCCCCAGGATCGTCATCGGCACGGAGGGTGAGATCGGCGTCGGGTCGGTCTACCAGGAGCGGCAGAGGGCATCTAACCAGCGGAACGGCGTGGTCTGGGCCGAGCGCAAGGCCCACCTCGGCGAGACCAAGGTCGAGGATGGGCGTGCTCGTGGACGGCCTGCGGGGCCGCGTCTCTGTTCCCCTCGTGAAGCCGTTCGAGACTATGCTCCCGGGGGCCCTGCTGGTAACCAAGGGCTGGGTCTACTGGAAGACCGTGCTCGTCCTCTTGGGCAAGCTGGTCAGGGCGCTGGAGTTCAGGCGCGTGCTCTTCTGCATCCTCAACAAGGTCTGGAAGTTTGCGGACGGCGCTCACTCTGGCTGGGTCAATTCTGAGATGACCGAGGAGCTCCTCTGCGCCATAGGCCCCCCCCGCTCGCCTTCACTGACCTGCGCGCGGAGGTGGGCGCAAGAGTCACCTGTTCCGATGCGTCGGAGGATGGTGGAGGTGCCTGCACGTCGCTGAGGCTCTGCCCCGAGGCTCTCGCGAAGCTGACGGCTGCTGCCACCTCGAGCCAGGAGGGCCGCCGGCACGTCATGGCAGGCCGCCTGCTGCTGAGCGAGGCGCCCCTCTGGCGGGCCTGGGAGTCGAGGGGCCCGGGCCTGCCGCCGCTCGCTGGCGACGAAGTGCCTGCTGTTCTGGTCATCGGACTCTTCGACGGGATCGGGGGCATGATCGTAGCTCTCTCCAGGCTTCGTGCGAAGATCATAGGCTACGTCTTGTCGGAGGTGGATCCCTGCGCGCGCAGGGTTGTCAGGAAGAGGTGGCCTGGCCTCATCGACTGGGGGAACCTCCAGGACGTGGGGGCCGAGCAGATTGACAAGCTGGCGCAGCTTTTCGGCGGCATCGTCGACGCGGTCTACTGCGGAGCGGGCAGCCCCTGCAAAGACTTGTCGAGGCTGATGTTCGGCAGAAGAGGGCTCGAGGGCAAGAAGGGGGCCGTTTTCAATGAGACCACGGGTCCTCGGGCTGCTGAACGTGGCGTTCCCTGGGAAAGTGCGCTCCCTCGTTGAAAAGGTCGCATCCATGCCGCTGGAGGACATCGAGCGCATCTCTGTCGAGCTCCTGGTCACGCCCTACCAGTTCTGCAGCAGCAGCCTGGTCCCTAACAGGAGGCCGCGGCTGTGCTGGCTGTCGTGGAGCCTCCTGCCGTGTGAGGGCTACTGCTACCAGGACAAGGTTCACTTCATCGAGGTCACCGCCGACGGCGCGGAGCGCGTGGAGCTGTCCTGGGCCACTCCTGGCTGGCTCTGGAATGGCGGCGCGCTGCCAGTGCCGACCCTTGTCTGTGCTGGGCCCTCATCGCTGCAGCCCACTCGACCTACTGGCATTGCTCGGGCTAGTCCTGAGGCTAAGGCGCGCTGGAAAAAGGACGATCATCGTTATCACGTCGGCCTTTGCGAGAGCGCCTGCCTTCTCCAGCGTGAGGCTACCATGGAGCTCCGACCCCCGTCAGCTGAGGAAAGGGAGGTTCTTTTGGGATTTGACCAGGGATACACCGAGTGTGCTGTGAAGGGCGGATCTGGTTCGAGCTCTGCGACCACGCGTTGTTTCTTGCTCGGGAATAGCTTCTCGGTCTACGCCGTGTCATGGCTGCTGCAGCACGCCCTGGTCGCTGATGAGTACCAACCACGGCTGTGGAAACCCTCTGCCCTGTGCCATGCGGGGAGATGCAGGGCCCCTTGGAACGACAGCGCTGTGCACCACCAGAGCGACGACTACCAGTATCAGCCCGAGGCGGAGCAGCTTGTAAGGTACTACCTGTCGATCGCCGAGAGAAGGGGGCACGGACGTGCGCCTTGGCGCCCACCTGCCGTTCAGGCACCGCGCGTGGCCTCGCGTGTCGCTGGAGCCCGGCGTCTGGACGTGGAAGGTGATCTCGAGCTACCGGTGGCGTGCTGGGATCGGGAAGCACATTAACGCCCTCGAGATCCAGGCGGCTGTGAACACCGTCAAGTGGCGGCTGCGGTCGGGGCAGGGCGGCCCCAGGCGCACGCTACACCTCATCGACAGCCAGGTCGCCGCCTCGGTGCTCACGAAGGGCCGCAGCAGCAGCAGGGTCTTGCGAGCGCACGTCAAACGATGGGGGGCCCTGTGCTGGGCGACAGGCTGCTACGTCATGCTTGGCTACATCGCGTCGGAAGACAATCCCGCCGACGCGCCGGCCCAGAAGGTTTGGCAGCTAAGAGGCTTTCGCCGCGAGCCCGCAGGCTCCAGCAGTTGCGGACCTCCCAGAGGCTCTCGAATCTCAGAGTCAGCGCGGTCACTCTCAAGAGGTACCGCATCGCCGTCGCGGAGTTCCTCGCCTTCGCTATCGAGGGTGGTTTCTCGCTAACTAGCTCTGAGGAGGCTGATCGTGCACTGGGCGCCTATGTCGAGGACCAGTGGGCGAATGAGGGCACGCTCAGCCAGGGGCGCTACGCGCTCGCGGGCTGCCTCTTCTTCGCCCCCGAGCTGCGCACCGCCCTGCCCTTTGCTTAGTCGCTGGTGAACACGTGGCAGAAGCTGGCGCCCGTCAGCCGCGCCTACCTGGCGAGCCCTGAGATGGCGCTCGGGCTTGCAGGCGCTGCGCTGGCGGTTGGCCAGCCCCTGCTGGCAGCCCTGGTCCTCGCCACGTTTGATGCGATGCTTCGGACCAAAGAGCTGCGGGATCTCACGTATGATGTCATCTTGCGGCTCTCCGAGACGAAGATGGGCGCCAGGACCGGCAAGGTGCAGTTCGTCGTGGTGCGAACGCCGATCGCATTCATTTTGCTGCGAGTTGCCGCGACAAGCGCCAAGCCGACGGACCACGGCTTATGCGGTCGCTCCTCGCGGTTGCCTCGATCCCGCCTGCACGCTGGTCTTGGTGCAGCTTCAGGCGGGGAGGCGCATGATTTGCTTTTGGGTGCCAATCTCGAGCGCACAATGCAGCGAAGGAGGTGGAGCGCCGTAACTTCTGCACGAGTTTATATCGAGGAGGCTGTCGCCGATCTTGTAGACGTTTCAATCAGCGATTTTTCGATACATATATATATATATATATATATATATGCTTGGCCTAATGTTACTTCCGGCTATAGCCAGTGAGAAGGTGTGCATGGAGAGGCCGCGGCGGCCATCCAGGGGAGTCTTTCTGTCGGTGGCGGGCCCCCCGTTCGTACCGTTCCCTCGGCTTGGTGACTCCTGGGCCGCTTCCCCAGGGGTCCGAGTGAGGTGGCGCCGAGACCCTCGCGGATCGATCTGGCTCGACTCGAGGGCGGCGAAACTCGTCCCTGGGAACGCGAGGTGGGTACGTGTCACGGGGGGGCACGCAGCGTAAAAGCCTCAACGCAGCTGTCTGGTACAGCTGCGAGATCTCAACCTGTGGCGAATGCGCGACCAAAACGAGATCAGACTTATGACGACAGGTCATTGGAGAATCTCGGGGGTCCCACTGAATTGCCGATGTCGTTCTCGCAGCTTTCTTGCTTTGCCGTCCCACAGCCACCCGAGCAAGGGTGTGGACAGGAGCCAAGCAACCACAGGAATTGCCCAAATCCTGCGGTTGGAGAGGCCGCGGCGGCCACCCAGGGGAGTCATTCCTTCGGTGGCGGGCCCCCCGTTCGTACCGTTCTCTCGGCCTGGTGACTTCTGGGCCGCTTCCCCAGGGGTCCGAGTGAGGTGGCGCCGAGACCCTCGCGGATCGATTTGGCCCGACTCGAGGGCGGCGAAACTCGTCCTTGGGAACGCGAGGTGGGTACGTCTGACGGGGGGGCCCGCAGCGTAAAAGCCTCAACACAGCTGTCTGGTACAGCTGCGAGATCTTAACCTGTGGCGAATGCGCGACCAAAACGAGATACCTATATGTATCTCTCTCTATATTTATATGAATTGAATCTATACACGTATACACATACAAGACTGCATTGGTGCTTCGCGCCATGCACCTTGGTCCGATAAGTGGACGGTGCAGGCAGACTGAGAGAGGTACACCGAGCAAGACAGAAATCGTTTCTGATGGCCGATGTCGCCATTGGGCCATTATCGTGGTGTTCGTCTAGTTTCTCTACCTCATTCTCGAGTGAATTGGCACACGAAGGCTTTTTCGTCCTCTTCTGATTCGTTCGCGGAAGCTCCTTCGTGGCGCATCTCTGGAGAGTTTCGCAGAAACATTGTTAGGGCTCCTTGGGGGGGTCCTCGAGCCACCATACCGGGAGTCGTGGTTCCAGATCACGTGTTGCATTCTGGGGGAAGGTGTTTTAAAGACAATTTGGGGCCGTGGTGAGTCCGCCCGTGGGCAGTTTGGAGCCGTCTTGGGCCCTCATGGGGCCCTCTTGGGCTGCCGGGAAGCCCGTCTGGCTTGTCTTGGAGCGGTTTTCTGTGTTTCTTCTGTCCAGCGATCTCGGGCGCTTGGAAGCCTGAGCGATCGAGTATTACAAACATTGATACATCTATGTTTTCCAAGTTTCGAGCGCCTCTTCCAGGTGGCATTCGAGCCGCGTTCGGGTGTCCAGCGGAAGTCTGGGCCGCTTGATGCCATCTTCGATCGTTTTGGGAGTCTCTTGGGCCTTGTGCCGGTAGTTTCGCAGTCATTTTGGCCAGTCGTGGGGCCGCCTGTGGGCAGTTTGGCGGCCGTCTTGGGCCCTCATGTGACCGTGTTGGGGTGACTGGAAGCGCGTTTAGCTCGTCTTGGAGCGCTTTCCGGTACCTTTCCAGCGTTCTCGGACGCTTGGAGGCCCGTGTGAGCAAGTGTCCGAACATCATGCGAAAAAACAATGGAACATCACTTTTTTTCCAAGTTTCGAGCGCCTCTTCCAGGTGACATTCGGGCCGTCTTCGGGCGTCCAGCGGTGATCTGGGCCGCTTGATGCCGTCTTCGATCGTTTTGGGAGTCTCTGGGGCCTTGTGCCGGTTGTTTTTCAGTCATCTTGGGCCAGTCATGGAGCCGCTCGTGGGCAGTTTGGCGGCCGTCGTGGGCCCTCATGTGACCGTGATGGGGTGTCTGGAGGCCCGCTTGCGCCGTCTCGGAGCGGAATTCAACGGTTCTCCAGCGTTCTCGGACGCTTGGAGGCCCGAATGAGTGAGTATCCGAACATCAAACGAAAATCAATGCAACAACGATATATTGTTAGGGTCGAACGCTTCGTGGGGGTGACATTCGAGCCGTCTTCGGGCGTCTGGCGGGGGTCAAGGGCCTTGTGGAACCATCTTCGACTGTCATGGGACTGTCACCCGCCTGTGTGCACGCCTTGGCAGGGATTGCTAGACCGCCCCCTCGGTGCCAGGGAGGGCGTCTGGCCAGCCCGAGAAGTCCCAAATTCGTTCGTGAGGGGGGGGAGGGGACGGGTGGGGGGGGGGGGGGGGGGGGGGGGGGGGGGGGGGGGGGGGGGGGGGGGGGGGGGCGGGGGGGGGGGCCCCCCTTTTTTTTTTTTCTCTTTTTTTTTTTTTCCTTTTTTTTCTTTTCTCTTTTCTTTTTTTTTCAGGTCACCGGCCGTAATAAAAATAATGCAGGAATCGGATATAACCGCTATACCAACACCCTTCGGGTGATAAGGAGGTGAGGGGGGGGGGGGGGAGGGACCAACGTCGCACTCGATTGATCTCACCATCGAACTCACTACCGATCTCACAATCGATCTCACTCGATAGATCTCACAATCGATCTGACTATCGATCTCACAATCAATCTCACAATCGATCCCACAATCGATCTCACATTCGGTCTCGCTATTGATCTCACAATCGATATCACAATCGATCTCGCATTCGATCTGACTATCGATCTCACTGTCAAACTCACTATCGATCTCACTATCGATCTTGCATTCGGTCTCACTATCGATCTCACCATCGATATCACAATCGATCTCACAATCGATCTCGCATTCGGCCTCACTATCGATCTCTCTATCGAACTCACTTTCGATTTCATTATCGATCTCACTATCGATCTCACTATCGGTATCACAACCGAACTCACAATCGATCTCACATTCGGTCTCATCATCGATCTCACTATCGAAATCACTACCGATCTCATTACCGATAGTGATCTCACTACTAACTCAATCGATCGATCTCACAATCGATCTGACGATCGATCTCACAATATAATCCACAATCGATCTCACTATCGATCTCACTATCGATCTCACTATCGATATCAAAATCGATCTCACAATCGATATCCCATTCGGTCTCACAGTCGATTTCACTATCGATCTCATTATCGATCTCACATTCGGTATCACAGTCGATCTCACAATCGATCTCACAAGCGATCTGACATTCGATCTCACGTTCGATCTCACAATCGATATCACTACCGATCTCACTATCGATCATCAAAACAAAACATCAAAGACACAGTCCAGCGGGACAAAAAAACAAACCCGGGGGAACAAAAAACCGCGGGCCCCGCCGGCCCGGAAGGTAATCGTGTTCGTTGTCCGCCGCGCCTCAGCCGACAACACGGGACAACCATCGAACCAACGGGACAAACCGGCGGGACAACCACGGG